TAATGCGCACTGACCGTTAGGGGGCAGACGCTCAATGCAGAAGCTGCCCCCTGGTGGTCAGTGCGCTCCCATGGGGCAGTGCCGCTCAGCCAGAAGCTGGGCTCTCAGCTGGCAAGTATAGTTGTGGTGGCGGGAGCCTCTCCTTCCTCCACTGCAGGTGGGCTGTAAAGAGTGAGGGGTCCCAGATTGCAAGAGCCCCAGACTGCAAGAGGGCATAGGCCAGGCTGAGAGACATTCACTCCCCCCCCCCTTCCCAAATGCAAGAATTTTGTGCACCAGGCCTCTAGTATTAATATGTAATTTAAGTAGTAAGTGTAGTGCATTGTATTGATTTTTTATAAACTATATGTATAAGAAAGTTGCATTATTTATAAATTTTATTTCAGGAAAGTAAAAGACATAAAATATTTACTATGAAAGGGATAAGATCATTGCTACTCATGGTCTCAGGAAAAAATATGCTGTTGTTACTTTTGTAGCAACATAATACCATACTGAATTATGCTGTTTTAAGACATAATGTCTATAGAGAGAAGTAACATTAGATATTTCAAAATCCTTTTTGTATTATGTGAAAATTTAAAATGTTTTCTACATCCCCTCAAGCATCTTTAAAATCCATGCTGTTGATAAAGAACTGAAACACACACATCCACACCACATTGCTGTTTGGTTCCATGGTGTCTGGATTGTTCTGTCAGATCCTTTGTATGTGTTACTTCATTTACATAAAAGGGGTGCAATGGGAGCTGTGACAGTTAATTTTATTCGTCAGCTTGGTGAAAGCATAGTACCCAGATATTGTGGATGTTGCTGTAAAGGAATTTTTAGATGAGATGAACATTTAAAGGCGTATTCTTTGAGTAAAGCAGGTTGCCCTTCCTAATGTAGGTGGGTTTCATTCATCCAGTTGAAGGACTTAAGAGAAAACAGACTGAGGACCCCAACAAAGAGGGAATTCTACCTCTAGCCTGTCTTTGAACTTGAACCGCAGCATCATTCTTGCCTCGGTCTCCAGCCTGCTTGCCTACCCTGCAGATTTGGGATTTACCATTCTCCACAATCACATGAGCCAATTCTTTAAAATCAGTTAATCTATCTATACATCCTGATTTGTTGATATATATCTGATAATCCCAAAATGGAGTTGAGTGGTCAGAATATCATCATACCAATTTCTAGGAGCAAAAATCTTTAACACAGTAAACCAATACCAACGTCAGAATTATTCAGAGATCAAGTCCTCTGAAAATGTGCTGCTAAGGAGATGTTGGTGCCCGAGTAAAGCATAAGTTAGAAACAGCCCTCTGAGATGGCAAGGATGGGAGGTAACCCTTCATTCACAGTAGGAGTAAAAAGCTGCCTTCCTACGTGTAAAGATACCCTTGTTGTTGTGTGTTAGTTTCTTAAAGCTGTGCACATCCCTCTGCTTTTCTGGGGATCTTAAATTCTTACCGTTCCTTTTTTGCATTTTCAAGTTCTCAATCTGACTTTTTCTACCCAATATGTTAAAAAAAAAAAAAAAAAAAAAGTCTTGCCCACATTAACATTTTCTCCTGTGTCCTCTCCTCGCCCCTTTTTATTGTAACTTTCTTCTTCCTTTGACAACTAAGCTTTTTTCTTGAGAGGTTAGTTTGGCGCTCAATCCTTGCTTCCTATTCGCTCCTTAAGCCACCTGGCTCCACCACTCCCTCCTCACTCTTCATAATGTCAGGCCAGGTCCCACTTCCTCTTTCCCCCACACCCGGCCAGCACCCAGAGCTGTTGAATCTAATAGTTTCTTTGTGTCTCAAATACATTACCTTTTCTCTTTGCCTTCTTTTAATCCCTCCTTATTTCTTAGTTGAGCTACCCAAATGCTCTTTGAACTCATTTCCTTTTTATATAAAACAATTCTAATTAGTATTCGTCCAAGTAATGTCTAAATGATGTTTCTAAAAGTTTAATCCTGTCACTTCTGTTTAAAAGGCAGCTCAGTAAAATCTAAGTTCCTAGCACCATGTATTCCAATGACATTACTGGTTCTTCTTCCCCAGCCTCACCACTAGATAATTCTCTCTGCACACTATTATCCAGCCATACTGAACCACACGCTCTTCCTCCTCGGTGCTAGGTTATCTGCTAGGTTATTGTCACCTTGGTCCTGCCAACCTGTTCTTCCTAGCTTTCCTCTCCTTCACCCCTGGCTCCATCAAGTCCTTCCTGTTCCTAGCTGAGCATGCCATAGTTCAGTGTCAAATCCTCTAGCCCCTGGCTACTCAGGGTCCCAGGACCAGCAGCAGGTGCCTTGCCCGGGACGTGGAGAGGCATGCAGTGTCCCAAACCCCATCCCAGACCCACCAAATCACCATCTGCACCTTTACGTGACCTCCACGTGATTCATGTGCACATTAAATTTGGGAATTACTGCTTTCGGATTCAATGTGAGTGAATGGATGAGGGAAGAATGTGTCAATCACTGAAACTGTATCCATGTATGGAATGAAGTGGGCAATGAGAGTACTTACAAGCTAAGAAGTGAAATAGAAATGGGTGATGTTGAAAATGTCTGTTGCATGCACATAAATTTGCTGACACTTTAATGGCTATTATTTATGTGAAGGAAAAACAGGTAAGAGGGGGAAAAATAACAAATGGACTAGAAGACAGAACTTAGGAGACATTAAGCGATTTTTTTAAAAAAATTGAAGGAATAGAATAAAAACAAAAACAAAAAAGAGTTTAGAAATTTGCCCAATTAACTTTCAAAAATACTTGTAATAGTGTTTTGGATAAAAGTGTACAATGATAGATACTGTTAAATAGAAGTTGCATTTTAGAAATATTTTAATTACATTACAAACTTAAGTTTATAAGAAAAAAATCCAAACCCAAGAACCCGAATATATAAAATATCCCCACTTTCAATCATCCCTCTTGATGAGAAAACGTGGTATTATATATAGCGTTATGCTTTTAAGATTTCCCCCGAATCACTCAGTCCCATTGACCAGGTGTTCCTTTTTGAGGCTGCTTCCAACGTATGGTTCTGAATCTTCCAGCATAAGAATGAAAAGTGTGCTGGCATCTCTGATAAGCATAGTAATGGTGGCCACTGATTGGTGGCTAGTGTGAGACGTTATGTCGAAGGCTTTATACACATTGTAGTCATTCTTTGCTTTTAAATTTATAAGAATAGCTGCTTCTGGTTATTTCACTGAAGAGGACTTATATTAAAAGGGTGGGAGGCTTGAGTACTTATTGAAGTGTCATCCATGGAACCTTTTGGGATAATCCAAAAATGATGGACTTGGACAACAAGTTACTAATGTATCTCTGGGTATTTAGAAGAAAGCCTCTTTGATAAAATGAGGGATTATTTTGAATGATACAGTATTTTGTTTATCTCTGCAAGGGAGGAGATGTGGCCAAGTGATCAATTACTCTCACCGACAATAAGGTAAACTGATACCAGGTGCCTCTTTGATGTGATGCACTGAGAATGGCAATCACTCGTTTTGGGATTCCTGCCAAAAACACAAAACCTCAATCTACTCTTGTACACACATATAGGAAGAAAGCATTAGAGCAAATTAACAGAATATTCTGGGTGAAGAATGTAGCTGGAGTTCACTTACTATTGTTCTTGCAACTCTTCTGCAAGTTTGAAATCATTTCAAAATAAGGTTTCTTAACAGATTTTTTTTTTAATGTACAATATTTTCTTCTTACAAAACACCCCAGCCCTGGCCAGTGTTCTGGTTACCGTCATCCTGCTCACCAAAGGGTCACGGGTTCAATTCCCGGTCCAAGGGCATGTACCTAGGTTGCAGGTTCGATCTCTGGCCCTGGTAAGGGCTCATGTGGTAAACAACCAATCTGCATGTCTCTCTCACATTGACTTTTTTTTCTCTCTCCCTCTCCCTCCTTCCAATCCTTTCTCTCTCTAAGAACAAAAAACACACACACACAAACAAACACACACACACACACAAAAAAAAAAAAAACAACAACAAACAAACAAACAAAAAAAACAAAAAAGAAGAAGAAGAAGAAGAAGAAAAGAAAAGGAAAAAGAAAAACCAGTGGGAAAAAATGACCCTCAGGTAAGGATAAAAAAAAAAAAAAAAAAACTAAATAAATTAACCCATATAGGGTTGCACAATTGGATTTAGTGAATGATAGAAGGAGGCTTTTGGGATCATTTAATCCATGATCTCGCTAATTCTGCACAAAGTAGTTCAGTAATGGAAAGTAACTAATCCAAGCCTCCTCTACACACTCTGCTGTAAATCATCTCATTGGGGCCCAGTCCCAAATTCAGACCACGTAAGAATGTTAGCAGCCCAACTGCTCTGTTTTCCAACACAAAGAGCCCCTGGGGCCGGGGCCCAGGAGGAGGCCTCTGCAGCCCCCCCACGGAACGCTTCCAATAGATACAATTAATGGCTCATGAATCAGATTGCTGGCGACAGAGGGGAAGCAAGATTCTCAGGAGTTGGCTAGATGCTTCAGTGGAGCACGGAGAGTCTGGATGTGTCCCTGCGATTCTATTACCCTTTCTATCATGGAAACTTGTCATCGGACTCGAAACCCTGGGTGGACCACAGTGTGCGTTTTGCTGTGGAAGTAGTTGCTGGTTTGAATATAGACTCTTACACCTTCTTCACATGATACTCATGAAAACTACAAAATATTTGAGAAAGATACTAATATCTCCATTTTTCTTAAAGAACCTGTATAGGGAAATTACGCAACTTGTTCAAGATTCCATACATAGTAATGGGGGGAAACTGGTAGATTTGAACCTGGTATATGCTCACTCTGCTAGCCAGTCTGCAAGGGTTTTAAGAAGGTTTCAAGATTTGCCTCTGTTACACAGACTGGGCGCTTTCTCGGGTTTTGGAAATCAAGGGGATGGCTTGTCTCCAGGTTAAACTAGATGATCCATAAGCAGTTGTAAGGACTGAACCCCACAATCTCTTATATTCTTCAGCTACAAAGTGGGAAGAATACCTACCTACCCACAGGGCAGATGCTACTGTGGAAATCCAGTATCAATTACAAAATGTTTTGATAGGTTAAAAGCAGCTGGAAAACCTTAGTTGCTATATTACTGTTGAATAGCATTCTCTAATTCGTAGACTGAAAGAGCCTTGTGTCTTCTATGATGAGTCATAAAAGCAAATGCTCCTACCTCCTCCTTTTTCGGTGGCATTGGCTGCTTCCATGGTCTGGAGTCTCCAGGCGGTGCTGCCTTGGCCTGTCTGACGAGGGTGGCCCCTCTGGAGTCTCTCTGGTCGGTGTTCTCATAATCACCCATATTCCAGGCGATCCGGCCACGGCTGAATTTTCCTAGCGTGTCCATAATAAAAGGTTTGGGTTGCCTGAAATAGGAACAAATTGGTTGGTTATCAAGTTGGAAGGACCTATTATAGAAACAAGGCCGCCGGTTTTCAGATAGTTGAGATTTGCCTGTTTCTCTTGTGATTTGAAGAGATATCTAGCCACGGGCTTGGGAAAGTGAATGACTTGAGCCATCAGCCGGTGTCCCAATAGGTTTCAGGACTCCGCCCACTCCACTCCACCAGACACTCAGGGGCTGGAGATGAGGAGCCAGATGGACATGTATCTAGGAACCTGTGGGTGCGTTTGCCCTGTGTCATGACTGCCCATCATGGCCTGCAGGCCAGGCATGCAAGATGCTGAGAAGTGCAAGGTGAGATGCTCAGGCTGAGACTCCATGAGACCCACAAGTTCTGCAGGACATGGTCTGTTCATGCTGGGAGCTCAGGCGAATTCAGGCAAACACCAGTTTCGTGATTCCAGAGTCTGCCCTTGGATACTGTATTGGAAGAATGACCCAGACTTTATTCTCTTTCCCCAGTGAAATCCTTGTCAAGCTCCCAACAGCCCTTTATTGGTGTATTATCTAAGGACCACCTTCTGTTATGAAGCGGGGGTAAGGTGGGGGGAGAGACAAAAAAGGATCGCAGGATAAGGATTTGCCATCTCACTTCTAAGGCTGTTGTCACTGTAGAGAGCCCCTCCACTGGGTGCTCAGAGCCTCATGGCCACTGCACACTTCACTTCCTGGAATCTGAGTTTCATGGGTGCTCAAGTCCTTTGGACCAAGATTTGTGGCAGGTCTGCCTCACTCTCGCCCATTCAAGATCATGCACATAACCATAGCCAGCATAGGACATGGCCGAGGAGGCAGCAATGTGGGGCAAAGTACCACTTATCTTAGAGCAAGCATGTCAAACTCAAAGGCTAACATGGGCAAAATAAACAAGGTTTAAGTTTATGTGGGCCACACAAAAAAATCAGCTTCAACTTTCATAGGAATGTAGGTTTATTTCAATAGAGACATGCTGAATACAAAGGGCTCAAATAAATGAGTAATCATTAACATAAAATAATAGAATATGTAAATAAAAATTAATATTTTTCTTGAACGTTAACTTACCAGACACTGAATAACTGCACAAATTAATAAGCATAACACAAATAGATCTATTTTTCTTGTTCCCTGAAAGGGAAATATTTCCTGTTGCACACACCAAACAAGTCAGTTCAAGACTAATGGCATGGCAATCGGCTGCTAAAATATTCACTGCCAGTATTAGTGGAGAGAAATGGTGCACCTGCGTATAAGGCACCTAAGGGAAATGAATGCAACACGATTATAGTCATCAGTCATTAGCGAACATTGTCATTCATTATTAATAATTATGTATAACAGGATATTATAAAAATTAAGTTACGAATTTTTTATTAAAACATTTCTTAACGTACCGTTATATTGCCTGGGCCACAAACATATGCATTATGGGCCACATGCAGCCCTCAGGCCCTGAGTTTGGCATACTTGTCTCAGAGCGTATGTATTATACCAGTGGGTAACAGAAATAGACATGTTAGTCAGTCAAATGTTTGGTAGTACCATGAAAAAATAAATCCAGGTAAGGAACAGAAAATGCGGGCTCGCTATTTTTGTGAGGGGAGGCCGGAGAGGGGGAGGTGACACTAAGCAGAGGGCTCAGGCAGGGAGAGGCCATCCATCCCAAGGCGCACAGGGCAGACACTCCCTCCCCACTGGCTGGAATCACAGAGTCCCTGTGGGGAGAGAGCTGGCCGTCACTCCCCAGCACACCCTCCCTGACACCCACAGAATGAAGTTCAAACTCTTCAGCTGAGCGCACAGGGGTGTTTATTGTTGCTATTTGCTTTTTGGCTGTTTTCTCTCTCTCTTTTTTAAATGGTGTACCCACAGGGGCCTTTCTGGCCTGCCCTCCTGCCCTCCCTCCTCTCTCTCTCTCTCACACACACAGAGCTTCATTGTGTACTAAACCACCCTGTGAGCTCTGACGGAGCCACACTTTCAGACCTTCAGACTCTGCTTCAACCTCTCCTTCTGCTTGTAACCCCTCCCTCCTCCTTTCCTGGGCTTTATGTCAGCATTTCTGTGAAGACTTTCCCTATGCTTGTCAGGCAGCAATTTCTCTCCCAACACAGCACATGACATTTGAATTCTTTTGTAGGAATTCTTAGAATAGACTTAAATTCCCAGGGCAGCAGGCTCTCGCCTCCAAACTCAGTGGTCCTTAAAGGGCCAAGAACGTGTCTCATTCATCATCCACTCCAGTGCCCATTACTCTGCCTGACACATAGCTGACTCTCAGCTAATCTGTGATGGATAGAGTAATGAGGAAAGGAGGGAGATCAGAATGAAATTCCTTTTTTTAAAAAAAAAAATACTGATTTTTCAGTAACAGTTTACATACAATATTATTTTGTATTAGTTTCGGGTGTATAGCACAGTGGTAAGACAGTCATATATTTGACTAAGCACTCTCCGCTGTATGTCCAGTTTTAAGTACTCTTCCCAGTATGTCCAGTTTGAAAGGCATTACTTTCAAGGTGATCCCTCCCACCTCCACTCACCTGCAGCCGCCTCCTCCCCTCCCACCAAGGGCAGGTGCACAGGTATGGATCCCTATAGTCTGGTTTGTTACTTGCAAATACAGATCAATAGCTGGTGATAATTTCAAGAAAGTTGAAAGGGCAAGATAGCTAATGGTTAGAATGTAGAAATGGGCATTATTTATAATTCATATTACCTTGATAAATGGTTCATAGGAAAACCATTTCATGCAAATGTGCTACATTTTCTTAAAAGCAATGTGTTATAGAAGCAGTTATACTGAATTGTTTAGGAAAACAAAACAAAAAACACCTTGCCTGTAGTTTGCCTTCATTTAAGCACTAAGATATTTTATAATCTTTTTTTTTTTAATTCAGACTTCCCTGTGTCCCTGAATCAGAAGCCATGAAAATTAAAAGTTATAATCCAAAGATTTTAAGGGTCTTGAAGAAATAGTAGCCATGTTCACTATGGAGAATTACACACACTAGTTCTGGTTTACAAAGGAGCCACAAAAGTCAAGAGAAGGAAACCAAGAAGCAGCAGGTTGGGGTCCAGCTGGAGCTGAATGCCAGGCCATGGGTAATGGTTTGCTACTGGTGACACACTCGTGCGATCCCCAAAAAAACAAACAAAGCGACCAAACACTCTTAGTGTAACATTCTTACTATTAACTTGGAAGGGTCACATCTTTTTCTTTTTGACATAATTTCAAGCTTTTACAACGTGCAAGCACAATACAATATTTTTTTTTTTCCTGAACCACTTGAAGGTATGTCATTGACAATGATACCCATCATCCCCAAGTACTTGGGTATGTCATTCCTACACTTCTCCATGTGGTTTCTTTTTGCTTACGTGATGTGATTCTTAAGGCTGGAATTTCCTTCCTGGCCCCACCTCCTAGCTCTCCTTTTGCTTTCCCACTCAGCCTTAAAAATGGAACTCATGTTACCACAGAGCATTCCTGAATGGTGACCCGAGTTTCAACGCTGGGCCACAACCATGACTGCCGGCTTTCCCACAGTATAATGTTCCCACCTGTTACACTTGATGTTTTGTTGACTCTTTCCTGCAGTAAATCTGTGAGTAAAGGCAAGGATCCGATGCCTCACTTTTTTTTCAGTGTCTAGCAGGGATCCTCAAACATAGAACATGTTTTTAGTCGATTTTGCTTGCTTCTACGAAGATACAAAAATATGTTCTGTATTTTATCTCCAGCGAAGGAGACTGTGAGTACACCTCTTGGGGGATTTGGAGTGAACTGGACCTGATTTCACATTCCTACACTATTTTGTTGTTTGAATTTTTAAAACTGTGAGCATGAATTATTTTTTGCCATAAAACATGTCCCTATTTTCTTTTTTTAAAAAAACCTGTCGGTTACTTGGGCAGTGGCTGGAATTTTCCTAGCAGCCTGGACAGCCGAGAAACGGAGTGAGAAGATGAAACAGACTTCAGCACTAAGCTAGGAAATGACTGGCTGGACGTCGCTTATGTAACTGTCTACAGGCGATGGGACAAACTGGACTTTCACTCAGGACACGTCTGCCAGGAAAAACACCGCGGACAGCTGACGAGGGCACCGGTGAGGGGGGTTGCTCTGCTGGGTCCTCGGTTCCTGCCTTCCTGTGACTCAGTCTGGGCCTGCAGGAGACCCCGGGGCAGCCACTTTGATTTATGACCAAACAATTCAATGAACTCTCTGTATGTTGGCCAAAGAAGCGGCGTGAATGAATGTTTACCTACATCGATCAAAATAGCTGCTTATTCGGGAGATTGACCACCCGGCGTCAGTCTTGCCCAAGAACAAACCTTTTTCCTCTGTTTTGAGGTCTCCTGGGTTCCCTCTGGTTGACTAAAAATAGCTCCATTAAGTGGTAAAATTAATGACCTTGGGATTCCAAAGCTAAAGAAACAAGCTGCTAGCTGTGTGAGTTCCAGTGAGTCAGTCTGGTTGAAAAATATATGTACCAAAACCGTCCTTCACTTGGGTCTCAAATGGAGAAATAGGAGGAACCTTCCCCTTCCGGCCTCAGCTTTTCCCTTGCAGCAACATGAAGTGATGCAACTCTGTGTATGTCTAGCCTGTGAAGAGGGCTGTTACCGTGTCTATAGGTGACTACCTGTTTTCCCAGGCAGCTAGTTCCTTTAAACGTTTGCTTTCTCTCAGGGTCATTGATTTCTACCCCTTCCATTTCCGGAAGTATTCAAAGGCCACCGGTGGCCCATGGAAATTTTGGAGAAACGCATTTAGAAACCATTTGGCAGGATCTGCGCTTTCTGAGAGAACAGCCGTCCTCTCCCTGTTATTTTCTCTTTGGAACATGTGCAGGAAAACAAGGCTCCTGTTTTTTAAAGATCTTTCTGCATGTGTGGTGTAGTGAAGTCTACACCTCAAGCCAGAATCTGCCAAGGAATGAAAGCCCTAACTGGGGCTTGAAAGATGTTTTGAATAGG